CTTGTTTAAGAATCATGGTAGCGGTGATATAATCCATGTCTAGAAACCTGGAAATAAAGAATATGGAAACTGAAAAAAATAAGAGGAGATCGTGAGACGAGTAAACCGGAGGGCATACGGAACGAACAAGAATGAATGGTTGTTATTGGGTCTATGGGGTATGGGTATCATATAGACAGGTACCGTGTTCGGCCACGCCCCTTCGGACCCGTGGGAAGATGCGAGGAATACAGGCAAGGTAAAGAGAAGCGAGCATGGGAAATGGGAATTGATATAGGAGTGTGGGAAAGTGCGATTTTCGACTCATTATTCAAAAATGTTGACATAAATTTCCAAATGGAATCTCAAACTCTTCTGGTCCTTAGAAGCCTACAAAATTGAAGCTCTATTTTTGTTTAATATACTCTAAAATTTTCAGAGAAATTTGAAAAAGTTAAAATTGTTTTGTAGCTTTTTGAAAAAGCGGCTACAACTCACCAGAAAAACGAGGCGCATGACCGGCATACCATCTTTCCATATCTTCTACTAGCGCTTACGTTTGTACAAACTTGGCAAAAGTAATTGAGAATACCTGTTTGACCTGAAAATTGAAAAAAAAATTTATTTAAAAAATTTTAAAGAAAATTCCAAAAATCCAAAAATTACGATTACCTTCAAACTTATAGGAAGCGGGTTGTTGGTAAAATTTTTTATTTTCTCGTTATAGTTTAGTCTAAAAAACCCCTTAGCATCGATTCCTGGGAATTTGGAGAATTTTCGAGAAAAAAATTTCAGATTTTGAAAATTTTCTTACTTATCATTCCAACTGGTCCCTCGAAATTCAATTCTGGTGGGCTAGAACAATCTTTTCCAGACATTTTCAAGTTTTTTTGGGGTGGAATCCTGAAAAATAAAATTTTCAGATTTTCGAAAACTTTCAGAATTTTGAGAATTAAAAAAAAAATTCAGAATATAAAAAATTCTGAAAATCCATTTATTTCAAATTTTCCTAATCTCGGAATTTAATGATTCAATAGTTTCAGATTCTTAGAATTTCAGAATTTCAGAACTTCAAAAACTGAGAATCCAAAATTTTTAAGATTTCAGATTTCCCCGAGACTGAATTTCAAAATTTCTGAATTTCTGAATTTCTGAATTTCTGAATTTCAAAATTTCTGAATTTCTGAATTTCTGGATTTCTAAATATCAAAATTTCTGAATTTCTGAATTTCTGAATTTCTGAATTTCAAAATTTCTGAATTTCTGAATTTCTGAATTTCAAAATTTCTGAATTTCTGAATTTCTGAATTTCTGAATTTCTAAATATCAAAATTTCTGAATTTCTGAATTTCTGAATTTCTGAATTTCCGAATTTCTGAATTTCTGAATTTCTGAATTTCTGAATTTCTGAATTTCTGAATTTCTGAATTTCTGAATTTCTGAATTTCTGAATTTCTGAATTTCTGAATTTCTGAATTTCTGAATTTCTGAGTTTCTGAATTTCAAAATTTCTGAATTATTGAATTTCTGAATTTCCAAATTTCTGAATTTCTGAATTTCTGAATTTCTGTATTTCTGAATTTCTAAATATCAAAATTTCTGAATTTCTGAATTTCTGAATTTCTGAATTTCCGAATTTCTGAATTTCTGAATTTCTGAATTTCTGAATTTCTGAATTTCTGAATTTCTGAATTTCTGAATTTCTCAATTTCTGAATTTC